TCATACTTGCCCCAGCGGCGAGGTGGTCCGCTTGGGCGGAGGAGTGGGGCTGGCAATTCGGGAGGATCATCGTAACGAGGCATAACCCAAAAAAAAAAGGAGGCAATCAACCCAGTGAAAATATGCCTCGTTACAACGTATATTACCAGATATATTTATAATGGTTCGTACTCTTTCTCAGGATTTATTAATTTCCAATACGCCATACCACAATCAACTGGTTATTGGCAGCAACGTTTACTGAGGTATTTTTAATTTTGCGCCGCCTCCGAAAAGGTTGAAATGTATTTAATATACAGTACTGATTCGTAATAAGCAACTCGCTCGGGTCTGGCGAGTTGCTTGTTACTAATCAGGAATATTTTCGGCTTGCCTTTGTTCCTGAGCGCGACGACGGTGGCGGCGTAGAAAAAACAACGCGAGGACGGTGACGGCGTAGAAAAAACAGGGGGTTGGGTGTAGCGGTATACTATAAAGTAATCGGTCGCGCGGCGATGTTATTCTTTAGACAAGGACAGAACATAGGATCCTTTCCCTGTTTAATAGTAGTAAAATTTCATGAATGGAATAATATACCGGATTCGTAACAAACAACTGCCCAAACCCAAGCGAGTGGCTTATCTCGAATCGATGTAGAATCAGATGAATCGAACACGCTGCAATTCCTAATTTGTCACACTTCGCCTTATTTTTTTATAATTATGTGAATATTAACATATACCTACATATGTATGTATTGTATTATTATTGCAATTGTAGTTTATTGAAATAAAACAGTTTAAGAAATATTGATGTCCAAAAATGGTAAAACGCCGTTACTGTGACAATAAAGCAATTTGGAAAAATTACGGTCGAACATATAGCTAGTTTTATTACCATTTCATGTGATAAAAATTAACCGTTGTTAGGTTGTAACCATCGAAGACTGCCAGTTTTTTCGTTAGTTCGACACAAGGGTCGGTACAGCCAGAATTGTTAATGGTTTATGTGAAATAAAATACACGCGTAAAGTATATCGGAGTTATAATTATATTTATAAAAAAAAATTAAACGGTGGAAAAACTATTGAAGAATTCGGTTAGGTTAGGTTATGTTGAGGTTATGACAGTGGTGGGATTATTTATAATAAACAAACACAGTTTAAAAACTATGAACTTCAATATTTCTTGTCGAACTGACTGAAAATAATCAAGCTTTCTAAAAAGGTCAGCAGTAGAACGCAACTGCATATTTGACCCTGGGTTTTTCCAGACATAATTTATAACCCCAGTGACGGTCAGGACCTTACCATATTTGGGCATGAATTTTCACTGATTTACTTCAACAGATTAGAACTAATTAAAAAGAATTGCTACGACAGTACATGCATCTATGTATACCTCGAGTACTCGCAGGTCTCAGACCCTAATTAAACAATACCTGCAAAGGATGTGGAAAAAACGGTACAAGTATGGTCAATACTTTAACATCAAGAAGAATAAACCTGCACGTATTTTTCCTATATTCAAAACTGCATTTTTTTTTCAACTGTGCCTTCTTAATTAGAAAATCTCATCTTCAATCATAACGTTGATATAGTTGATAAATTACTATTAAGGTTATGATTGAAGATGGGATTATCTGATATAAAAAAACGTTTAATAACAAAAATTAACAATTACAAATAAGTTTTGATTCCAAAGAAGCAACTGTTTTCAGACTCGAGGTCCTTTTTCCAAGGACCCGCTAAATCACTTTCTTCTATATCTTAATTTACCACTCCTTTTTTAAACCACTTCTCTTTTAAAAATCAGTTTACATTTTTCTTGACGACTTTCTTCAAAGTTTACATTTTTCTTGACAACGACTTTCTTCATTAGATTTTATACGGAACTCGTCGAGGAAACGTAAACATATTTACAAGTAAAGGAGTTAGACTAAGTTGTACCTTTATGCATAATTGGTTGAGTAATAAACTATTTGTTGTTACCAATTCGAATCCTGATTCGAGAACTTTAACAGGTTTTCCTGATAAAACAGTGACTTGTTTTTTGTCGTGGACGCGTGAATGAAATGTATTGTTTTCTGGAAAAGCCCGACGGTCTTTACCTGAATCGGTATATAAAAGGCGTACAACATTTAGTTCGGTCAGTCTTTTGACAACCCTTCGACAGTGCGTAAAATCAGAGTACGCGAACAGAGTACGTGTTTGTGCATCATGGCAGGAAGTGACAACAAAAGCAGAGTTTTCCTCAGCATAATTCGAAAAATGAACATTGCTGAAGAGTTAGAAAAAGGATTATCTATAAAAACATTAAGTGGTAGATATGGAGTGTCGCAGGATGTAATATACCGTATTCGTCGCGATTATCATAAATTATCAAGTTTCGCAATTCGGGGTGGGCGCGTTTTGAAACATAAGAATCGTAGAACATCTTCGAATGAAGATGTAGAGAATAAATTATACACGTGGTTTTTGGAGCAGCGGGCAATGGGGAATCCAATCAACGATTTGCTGTTACAAGAAAAGGGGAATCAATTATTAAGTGAAATTGCATCGACGTCGTTTGCCGGAAGTAGGGGATGGGTTAAAAAATTTAAAAAACGGTACGGTATCAAATTGGCGCGGGCGCATGGGGAACAGGGAAGTGCAGACGTGGAAAGTGCGGAAGATTATGTTACATCATTCGTGAACCGATGGGAGGAAGAGGACATCGACGCAAATAGAATTTACAACATGGATGAAACAGGCCTATTATGGAAGACGGTTCCATCGAAATCTTTAGTATCAAGTAAAGAAGGAACATTGACGGGGAAAAAATAAGGAAGGACAGAATATCTATTGGACTGTGTGCCAATGGAAATGGCACGCATAAATTGCCACTTATTTTTATTAATAAGTACAAGAATCCGCGAGCGCTCCGGAATTGCAACGAATTGTCTGTGATATACCGATCGCAGAAGCAGACATGGATGACTGGCAACATTTTTAGAGAATGGTATGAAAATTGTTTCAAAACGAATGTTCGGCAATACCATTTAGAGCAGGGAATATCAGGTAAAGTAATATTGTGCGTGGACAATTGTTCCAGTCATCGAGGAATTGAAAACGAAGATAATTTTGAACTTATTTATCTGCTACCGAACACAACGTCATTAATTCAGCCCATGGACCAAGGCGCAATTGCCAAATTTAAAGTATTGTACTGCCATAATGTCCTCCGTCGTATTTTACAATATGAGAAAGGTGTAACCGATTTTTATAAATTATTTAACATTAAAGAGTGCATTAATTTTGTGAAAGAAGCATGGATGAACATTACGCCTAATAATATAAAAAATAGTTGGAACAAAATTCTTGGACGGGATGGAAGGGAAGGGGGGATCGAAGAAGACGAAAATGCACACGAATTAGATGTTTCGATTCATTCAGCTCTCAGTGATGATATACACACGATAAGCGGGGAAAGTATCACTTATGAAGAATGTCAAAAAATGTTAGAAGCCTTGAACAACGACGAAAATGTTAATGAAAAAAATATGAACGAAATTTTAACTCAAGAGGAGGAAGAAGAGGAGGAAGAGCAGGAGGAAGAACAGGAGGAAGCAAAAAAAGTGGACGAGCACGAAGAACAGAATAGAATATATATTAATTTTCTTCAATAAAATTGAAGAAAACAAGAAAGAATTAGCTGCCTCCGAAAATACTATAAAAAAATTCGCAAAGGGTAATCCGACATTGTTAGCATTGGGAGTCGTCTTGAAGCAAGATCTAGAAAAGGCAGCGCTATAAAAAAAGAAGGACAATAATTAAGAAGGCTCATCTGACTGGTTCGTGCTTTCTGTTTGGAGAAAAGCCCTGCTCGTGGATCAGAGACTTCGAAAAAGTTAAGTATCAAATTATTTAAAATAAATATTTTTGATCAGTAAACTTATTCATTTTTTTTTTCATGTTCATCTGACTGGTTCGTGCTTTCCATTTGGACAAAAGCCTTGCTCGTGGACCAAAGATTTATTTATTGTATTGTATATATTGTACCTGTTGTATAGAAATTGTATATTCCACATAGTGTATTATACTTAACTAATTTTTTATTTTTGTTAAATAAATTAATTAAAATTATAGATAAAAATGTACCTCAAATTATGGATTACTGTCAGCCATTAGTTTAAAAAAAAAAAGCATATTGATATAACATAATTTCGGAAAATATACTTTTCATAATACGATAGAATCGCCATGCATCACAGTGAGAAAACAATATAATGTACCGGATTCGTAACAAGCAACTGGCCAGACCCGAGCGAGTGGCTTATTACGGATCAATGTAGAATTCAATGAATGAACGACAGAATCGCTATGTATCAGAGTGAGAAAACAATATATATGTTCTGTCCTCTTTCCACTAAGCTGTTCGGTCGACCGTGAAAATTTATGACTTTTTCGGTTTCACGGACCTCTCACTCTTTCTCGGATCTCTCACTCAGCGGCCGACTTCAAACAAAGAAGAGGGGATAGAAATTTGCTTGTTACGAATCAATACTGTACTACCATTTTTTTTTCTTTTTTTTTTTTGGGACCGAAACCACTGCCGAGTTGGGGTTCCTCAGCCCAGGGGATGGAGCAATCGCTTTTCGGCATCTCTTTCACCCCTGGTGTAGGGTGGCCGGGGATACAGGTCAGATACGATTGACACCGAATGGCGCTCTCGAAGTGGCGCAAGTCGGATACTCCACCTCCTCGTGGTGGTTGTTGGGGAGATTTCTTTTCAATGAAATCCCTCTTGCGAACGGAGGAACGGCGGAGCCCCAAGAGCTGCAAGTTGCCTGAAAACACTTGCAGTTTGGGAAGTAGCGATCCCAGGGTTATCTGAGCTCGTAGTATACCGTAAACCTGTGGTCATGTCTCGCAGGAACGGTAGTCTTACCTTAGATGGTTGGACTGCGAGGATGACAACCTCTTTAAAAAATCCCTAGCCCCAAGTTTTGGCTACGGCGAGGAGGGTGCGTACCTCCTGTAGTGCTGGACATGACAGACTATACGCGGGTACGTGGCTGGCGGGTGCATCAGCCATTAGTATACCAACCTCCGGGTACCTGCCGCCCCCCGGATGTATTGAGGCTTCCTTGAGCATGGCGGCTCTACTCAAGGAGTATCTTGACCGACCAGCTCGTGGGAACTACTATGTGTAATATTTAGAAGAATATGAAATTTATATACATATAATATTGTAGTGACTGAATGTTCAAATGAACACGAGTAGTACTAGTAAAAATGGCAAATAAGGGGGATTACGACTTTGAAACAAATGAAGGTAAACGTTAGGTTTAGGATAAGCAGCTCCGATGACCTGGACCTTGACTTACATTGTCAAGATAATTCTTCCAAATGACCCCCAGACGATTTTAGGTGTCACACGTTTTTTATTAAAAAGTTATTAAGAAAGATGTATTATTACTATTACACTCTAATCTGCATATACGTATACTCAATGTGACTTTGAGATTCGCACAATTTATGAAAATTACACTCCTGAGTATTCCTCGAAAAGTTGTGTGCTACCTCTCGTCCTTTATTCAAAAGTTATTAGCATATAAAAATTACCGAAGATGTCAGAGGTCTCTACCGGAGTATGTATATGGTGTCCGATATTTTTCTGATCCTATATACATATAATACGAATATTATGATAGCCTAAGCATTTCTAACTCTAAAATATCAGACTACAATATATTCGAGCCGTATTATTTAGGATGGGGGTGTCACCCTAGAACAGTGCTCGGATTTAGTTGCACTTTTCGGGCCGATTTCGGAGTCGACGCCTACCGTGCCCCTACTACCGCGCTCGACTGCCCACGTGACGCCGTGCGCCAGAGACGTCGCACTATAGATTTGTCGGGACCCATCCGTGATTAGAAATTTTCCTTGCACTGTTAATAATTATTATTTTTCCAGATTATTAAAATTATTAATATTATGTTTACATTTATAAATATCTTCCATATATACATATAATAACAATAATACATGTTATAATAATTACAATTTTGTCAATAGCTTTCCACATCACCCAGGAGGTACTATTGTTGATGCGTTTTTTAAAAGTGGTTTCCCCTATAGGCCTATTCCACTAAATAAGAAGAACGACAGTGACTTGACAGGAAAATCGAAATCGAAAATATTTTAATTTTCCTTCGATCTTCTGAGTCATTTGGATTTTCCTGCCAAGTTACTGTTGTTTTTCTTACTTAGTGGAATAGGCCTACATTATTGTTACTATATGTGTATATGGAAGGTGTTTCTAGGCGTAAATATAGTATTAATAACTTTAATAATCTATAAAAATAATAATTATTAACAGTGCAAGCAAAATTTTTAATCGCGGATGGATCCTGACAAATCTATCGTACGACGCCCCTGGCACACGGCGTCACGTGGGTAGTCTAGCGCGGGAGTGGGGGCACGGTAGGCGTCTACTCCGAAATCGGCTCGAAAAGTGCAACTAAATCCGAGCACTGATCTAGATTCGTTGAGTATGCGATGGAAAGACTCGATCGATGCAACGGAAAGACTCGATCGCCGCATATACTATAAAGAGAGAGCCCATCTGCCGCAAATTTGGTAATTTCCGCATCGTGGGCTTGGTTTATAGGTTCCTAGATCCATGGCTTCCACATGCGAACGAAGTCAATTCAATTTCATTTATATCAGAAACGTTATGAAATGAAGATGCAATCGTTACATTTACGTATATTACCAGATATATTTATAATGATACGTATTCTTTCTCAGGATTTATTAATTTCCAATACGCCATACCACAATCAACTGGTTATTGGCAGGAACGTTTACTGTTCCTGTAATTGTTATTAAAAATTAATAACAATTTTTCGCTAATATCTCGAAAACAAAAGCTTTCCGTCAATTATGCAAGAGGAAAAAGTTGTCCAGAACCACGCCCCTAATAACATATTCGAAGGACATTAAAATCGTTCGAAGTTGATTTCAAAAGTTAATAACAATTATTTTCGCTAATATCTCGAAAACTAAACATTTCCGCGAAATTTGTATATGAACAAAATTGTTCAGA